TAAATTATGAAATGATGCATCTTTTTACTCATATAACTAATTGGGCATAGAATTGGAGGGTTACAACTGTTGATGAAACATCATCTAGAGTTCTATAAATACAACATGAATTCAACAATCATATTATCAACAACTTCTTTCTTTCTTGTCTCTAAATTTCAGATTATTTCTTAAGTTGTGCAAATCTTAAGAAATAATATTAAGTGAGTTTGAGTCCATAGTATCCTGGAGACAATTTGTGTTACAACTCTTTTTGCACTAAGAAAGAGCGACAAATTAGTCTTAAAGAAAGCGAATTCAATTCGTGCTTTGGCTCAAGGTTCTCATTTTCTTCTTCGCTACTGCCATCATTAAATTCATATTATTTTTCTAACAACATCTGTTCATCCTTATTGTGTAGTGAAACATTGTGTTTTCTGCCATTTTTATTGGTTTTCTCTTTATGTTGTTTAAATTAGGAAGGAGTGAGAAAAAGAAGAAGGCTACCCACTTTTTCATCCAACTTCTCACAGAGGCTGGCACTGGATTTTACTATGTCAAGAAGAAGCCGAAGAGGGTGCAAGAGGCGCTTGAGTTCCGAAAATATGACCCTCGGGTAAATCGTCATGTTCTATTTAGAGAATAAAAAATAGACGCAAAACGATAAATACTCTTTCTACCTTTTCACACATTCATGTTTAATCCTGTCCGTTGTTTTCTTTTGATTTGTTCGATTGATTGCAATAAATAAAGATGGTGTGTGAGAAACTAGAAAAAGTGCATAAAAATCACATCCCAAAATGAAATGAGCAAGTTTCGAGTGCAATATTATTAATGTACTCGTTAATGTCCACCTTTCTTTTGATCCCTGTAAGCACTTGTTTAAAGGTATACCTAACTCCTAAGAGCTTGCAATAGTTATTGGTATTGATAGTTCCTGTGCCTTATTGTCTATTTATCTTGATGATAGTTCCTGTGCTCTATTGTCTATTTTATCTTGATGATAGTTCCTGCTCTCTGTCTAACTGAAATATATTAAGTTTCAACTTTGATGGCTATTCAATTAGTCTCGTGTTTGCTTTTGAGTTTTTTATTTTTATTTTTAATTATTTTTATTCTAGTGATCGAGAAAATCTGACAATACATGTGATCAGATATTCAACTAATACCTCCGATTGTACTAAAAAATCAACTCTAGTCACATGAGTTGGACCAAGTTAGTTTGTTGTTTGGTAAGCAATGAAGTATAGGGGACTTGTAACTCAAGAAATAAGGAGCATTTATCTCTTAAGATCCAATGTTTGTAATCTATTCTTAATTTCATTTGTTTTCCTATAGTTGGAAAACTCCAAACTGAAAGGGTACCTCTTGAATCTATTGAATGTGGTCATTTCTCATTCTCTCATTTCTCTCACTTCTCTCATTGGGCATTTTAACAGTGGAAGTTAAAGGCCTTCTTTCGATTCCATTTTCCCATGCATTTGTGTGGAGTAAAAATGGTGACTTAGTTTCATGTAAAATAAAACATAATAAGGTGTTGCAAATTATTACCTATAATTTCTTCAATTACCTATAATTTCTTCAATTATTCAAACAATCTAGTAATATTCTTTGCCACTTATGAGTGTGACGTTCTATGTTCGATAAATATGACTGACTAGTTTGATAACAAATTATTATTTGTCCACAACGTAGCTTAGCGCAATTCCTCATCCTTAGCAATAATATTTTTGTATAACAATAATATTTCGTCATAAAATGAAGTTTCATAAAGTTAAAGATTTTCATGATTATGGAACAAAAATTGCAACAAGCATGCATTTATAGAAACTCCTTGAAGGTATTGAACATGGACGTTCCTACCTCAAATCCAATATGTTCAGAAAAATAGCTATTGTTATCTTTTTACATTTCTTATAAACAGATGCACGCGTCAGTGACTATAACGGTCTAATGATATTCTTGCTTACTTGTAAGTGAGATACCTTAAATTTAAATCTCGTGAGTGAAAAATTTGCAACCCATTTATTCTCCCACTACTTTGTGTAAATATATCGTTGTATAAAAACAGAACGCACTCGCGCAAACAGTAAAGTCCACCTTTTTATTTAATTTATCAGACTAAATAATTATCGAAACCAAACAGTTAAGTCCAAACACTAATTAGCTTGAGAATTAAGTAACTGAGAAAGATTCTGATCTCCATTAACTAATCAAGGCAAAACCAGAGTGTAGAAAAGTATGAAACAACTCTTAATCATCGTACTACTAGTCTGCTACATGATAGTTCTTTTTATCTTTTTCTAATTTTTGTTTGGGGATTTATTTTCTTGACAAAGCCCAAACGTAAGGAACTAAAACGGGTCCAAATAGAAACCGAAGATGAAAAGCCCAAATTCGAAATGGAATACCACACTATACAAAACCAAAGAACACAGCAGAAAGACACTCTCATTTCCTCTCTCCCCATCTCGGTCGATTTTACTTTCAGGTACTCTCTCTCTCTCTCTCTCTCTCTCTCTCTCTCTCTCTAGTTGTGTTGATTTCAAATTTTGGGTTTGAATCAATTTTGAAAATGGTGATCAATATTGTTAGAAATCTTTGCCTGTTTGTCTGAAAATTTGAAACGTTGGCATTAAAAGTGAAGGTTTCAATCCTCATTTGCAAAATTTGATTGCTTTTTACTGAAAGTAAATGTAATCATGGGCAAGTTGAATTCTTGTTGTTGTCATTAAGTCTTCGATTCTTGGGACTTTATAGGAGTTGGGTTTGAAGTGCTTCTTCTATCTGTTCAAGTTGGATCAAACTGCATTTATGGACTTAGCAAACCATACAGGGTTTAAGCTTATAATTGTTCTTCCAGATAGAAGCTAGATGTTCGTTTCTTGTTATATAAATATAAGATTTTCTTTACTGTTTCCACAAAAGCACGAGTTAGGCAAATCGCAACTAGGTTTTGGAATTTGATAATGTAGGGTTTTCTTTTCTTGTTTTTTGAATGAGAATCCCGTTATTTTTTTTTCGGCAGAAACATGAGCTAAGAATGTCGCAAGAAGGTAGGTGGAATTTGAAAATTTAGGTGTTCTTGGTAGGTGTTTTTTTTTTACAAACTACTATCCTTTAAGCTTGTAGAAACTGAAAGAAAAGGGATATAAGTAGAAATATCTATGTCAAGTTCCACTCTGGTTAAGCTTATGCTATAAGGATATCGCATTTTGTTCTTATGTTCTGTAAACATCGTAAACACAATAAAGGACTTGGGTAGAGATAGTCTGGCTTATATTAACAAGGCTATGAACGAACTTGCATATGATATTTTGTGTGTTTTTAAGTTTTGGTATGATTTTTAGCTGATACCTACTATCACTGCATGAAAACTAATAGTTAAGCTAGATTCCATGCTTTGTTTTGTGGTCTAAAGCTTCAAAAGAATGTTATTATTAGTGGATGAGGGAGCGACATGACTTCTGTTGGACAACTCCCTGCTGTTTACCTACGTGCATTCATTTTGTCTCATCAATAGATATAAATAGGAGATTTCCCCTCATTAGAGCTTTTGCACCGCCCTCCAAGAGTGATGGATTAACGTTCAATAATCCCAGGGGGTTTTCGACACGTCTTTGCTAAAGAGCTCTGTGTTTCTTCATTCAAGTAAGATGCTAACTTGCTCATCTTCTATACACTACATTAGTAGGGTAGGAGTTGATCATTCTGTCGTCAACCCTATCTATTCTTTGTTCCTTAGCGCAAGCGCTAAGTAACCATGGCAAGAAGGCCATAGCAGCCTTTGGGGCAGTCAAATACTTGTTCCACCTGCTCCATCTTTTTCCAGTGGTATAGAAAGTGAAACATTCTTTCAGCAATTCATTTAGTGACTTCGCGGTTGCCTATTACCCTCCATGAGCTCGGGGAAGAGAAGTAGGGCCTTCAGTTAACCAAGAGAGGTCCAGCCCTTCCTCAACCAGTTTCCTGAAGCGTTGGAAAACTGTGGAAGTCTAGGTTGAAAGTTGTTTAACTTTATGAGCTAAAGGATAGTTCAAAAGTTTTTTGGGTATTCTATCCCGTCTTTTGGATCATTGAGCATTGTGTTCGTAAAATCACTTTGACTCTCGAACATAGGCCTGGAAAGTTCATATCCATTAGATTCTTCATTACATTTTCCTTGCATTAATCATTCGAAAACTTATTTTCAGTGTGCTTGATATTGATCATTATTTGCGCCCCCTTTAATCTTAATTTCTTGTTTTGGGTTTCTTATTAGCAATGGGGTATAAGGGATTAATTTGGGCTGCTATATGTAATGTTCCGAACTGTTTGATATTTGATGTGCGTATATTTTCTCTGCCCTTTCAATTGCTCTGCGGAATCATTCTTCCATGCTTAACAGAAAAAGAACAGGGTACTGCGCTACGGTGTTTTCCTTAGCCTGAACAGCATATTTCTTTCAGAGGGCAGACAAATTTAGTTTAGTCTTCTCTTTCTCTCTTCGGATTTGCAGATGGAAGCATAAAGCAGAAGTTGATGCAGAATTTAGCTGTAAATGGCTGGGATTTCGGGATTTAGGAGCCTTGCACCTAAAACAAAGAATGCTATCGTTGCAGGGGGCTTGTCAGCTTTTGTTTTCGGAGTATATTTCTACACCATGAGAGCTGTTGGAGGCACAGATGAACTACAGGTGGCTATAAACAAATTTGAGGAGGAAAAAGTTCAGAAAGGGGCTGAAGCAAACGTGGCATCAAAGGTTTGATCTTTTATTTGTGCAATAATGTAGCCAAGGACAAGGTAACCCTTACTGTGAAAAAACAATTTTCAATATTCATCGTGCATTATTTTCATCGTCAGTGCTCGTTTGGATTCTCTCCATAGAAACTAAACTCGATGCTTTTTAAGTCTCCAACAAATTAGACGGTTCATGTGAAACCTTAGAGAAGCTTCACAAAAAATCTTCATCGAGCGACTCACACCTTCCTATTCTTTATAATTAACACATTTTCTTTTTTTAGTTTATAGGAAATTTAGAGAATTGTTTTTAGTTTCAAATAAAATATCAAAAAATACTTGGGTGTTTTGGAGTGAATTAAAAATAGGATTAAAGGACTTCGGAAGAAAGGAAAAAAAAAAAAGATTAAAGGAAGGTTCCAAGAATTTTGGTGGAAGTAGCTATTTCCTTTAAATAATGGGAGATTGAGTAAACCGTCCAATAAATGAAGCAAATTGCCAAGTTTTTACCTTCAATGACTCAAGAATTCAAGTCAATGCTCTTTTGTATCAATTTCACTCGGATATTTTATCACACTCAAGAATTTAGATCAATGATTTGTTGTATCAATCTCACTTGTCTCTGTGACGAGTGAGATTGATTCAGAGCATGTACATCGAATATCACAGATGTTATCACACTCTAGATTCAAGTCAATGCTCTGTTGTGTCAATTTCACTCGTCTTTGGGACGAGTGAGATTGACACGAGCTTATACATCAGAAGTTGTAGATTCTATCGCACTATTTCCGTGAGATCGACACAAGAGTGTGTATACTCAGGATTCAGGACTCAATAAGTTACAACATAGTGGAGAGTATTATGAAGACACCAACCACTCAATGAAAAGCAAAAGCATCGAAAAACCCAAACAGTGCCAAAGACTTGAATTAATATTAAATAAGAACAGCAATAATATCTTTTCCAATCATTTCCTTCACACTTTCTCACCCTAACCCTCTTCACATTTCTCTCTCTAAAAAATAGTGTGGAAATCAACCATGCCGGATCAATCAGGCGGGTGCTGCAGGTGCTGCTTCAGCTTCATATTCACCCTCGGCCTCACAGCCCTCTTCGTGTGGCTGAGCCTGCGCACCTCCAACCCCAAGTGCACAATCCGCTCGTTTTACCTTCCTGCCCTCAACCGGACCCTAAACGACACCAAAAACACCACCGTCTTCGTCACCCTCAGGCTCGGAAACACCAACAAGGACAAGGGCGTTTACTACGACGCCGTCAACCTCACCTTCCGGCTGCAGCCCAACGCCACCGGCATACCGGTGGCAACTTATGCGGTGCCCCGGTTCTACCAGGGGCACAAGAAGACGGCCACAAAGAAAGTGGTCGTGGGGCCCCAAGGACTCAACTGGACGGCGGTGTCCAGTGGGGTCTACCCCAATGGGAGTGCGATTTTTAGGGTGGATTTGGCCACTGCTGTGAGGTTCAAGATCATGTTTTGGAGGACCAAGAGGCATAAGCTGAATGTTGGGGCTGATGTGCTGGTCAATGACTCTGGTGGAAAAGTCAACAGGAAGGATATCAAGCTCTCTGCTGCACCAGATCATCACCTGATTGGATTCTTTTCTGGACAGGTGGGGGTTTTGTCCAATTTCTTGGTTTTGATTTTCCTTATTTTTTTGTGATTTTTTCATATTTTCTTATTTTATAATTCCATATGTTGATTTGCATTTAGTGCTATTCTTTAACTTGGGAAGAAATTGGTGCTAACTTTTTGTGCGTAAAATATTTTCTACTTAAATTGGAATTTCAAATTTTTGGTGGCTATTTATATGGATTGCCTAAATTATTGGATATTCATTCTTGTTATTTGCATTTCAAATTTTTTGGCAGTTGTTTAGATAGACTGCAGACAATGTAATATTGGTCAAATCACAATCCCGCTCGCCTAAAGACCGGAAATTTTACATCATCGCGTTGTTTATTTTTCAAACACACTGACTTGACTAATCGGCCTAACCCAAATCCTCGACCGCACTATCAAATTTGTCACTCTTTATATACCATTTATTTTAGATAGCTTTAACGGAAAAGTTATTGGTATTGTTCACTTTAACGAAAAATCATATTTTTACGTTAAAAAGTTAATTATGGTACTATTCATTTTATTCTTTATTTTGTTTTTATCGTTAAAATTCAAAGTTTTCAAATTATTTTCATTAGTTTTTCTTTTATTTTAAATTTTGGAGTTGATGAGTGGTGTGTGTGGGTGGGAAAATTAAACGGGTTGGAAATAATGATGCCAAGACGAAAAATACATCTTTGAAAAACGCCTGGTACAGTTTTGCAAAAGTAGGTAGTCCCACAAAAAAACGTGGTTGGATTTCAATTGGCGTCCAATTCTGATGCTTTCGGAGTCAGATTTCCATCGAGGCTGTAAAGGCTGTGACATGGAGCCATTGGACCACTTTATTACTCTGCAATACTTGAAATGGTACTATCAAGATTAGATTGGCATTAGACCATGAATTTATGTTCTTGTTAGTGGATCTGGCAAAATCATATATGACACTTTTAATATTTTTTATTTTATTTTTTATAACGAGACAACTTTCATTACAATAAAAACTAGTACAAGGTCCAAAAAGAACTGGGGAGAGCAACAACCCAACATACAAAGGGAGGCCCACAAAGTTAGGCCCGAAGGCGACATAAATATACAATAAAAAACCCTAATCTCCAGTCGCAAAGACCACATTGTCCTCGTCGTCATATCCTCAGAGGAAGCCAAACTTCGAACCGAGAAAGTAAACACTAGATCCAAGTTCCCTTCACGAACCCCTGCAAATATATACAAACAAAGTAACATATGGGAAGAGGATGAGGCTAAGGGGTATGTAAGATACTTAACACGGCCTCGATAGTGATCCGGCATGCCGATTGGGAGAGGGGAAGTGAGGGATGAAAGTGGATTTGATATCCAATTTCTTATTAGAGCCTGCCAATCCAAGTACATGGTGGGATGGAGATGAAGTATCACAGCTAAGAGGAGGGAGGGAGGGAAATAAAAGATAGAAAAGCAGTAAAAGTAGGCGAAAAAACGTCGGATAAGAGGCAAGAAGCCCTGGAGAGTTGAGACTCAGCTCAAGGAAAACATAGAATAAACTCGGGGGAGAACCAAGAATTAAAAAGGAATGGAGAAAATTGGAAGGGATGAAGGAAGATGAGGAGGGAAGCAGGGATGGGGGAGGAGCAGAGATGAAGAAGGGGGGAAGGAAAATAGGGAAAGTGCAAAGGAAGGAGAATCTGAGAAAACTCAGGAGGAAAAGAAGAAAGGAAGGAAGGGAGGGAGGAAAGGAGGATGCCTCCGACACCCAAGCCAAAGGCTAGGGCCGAGGGTGAAGTTGCTAGGAGGTTTTCACAAAGAGAAAATTAGAGAGAGAAAATGGGAGACTATTTAGAGAGAGAGTCCAACAAAAGCTGTTTAATTGGAGCGAATTTAGTTATGGTCATGTTTAATAATTTAATATGATACAAATACACCTGGAAAATAGTTTTGAGTTAAACGAGTCAATTTTGTGATGGGTTGACACGGTTCCGCACGATAGTCACATTTTTAAAATTTTTATTTTATTTTAATGAGGACGTTGAAGGATTAGGAGAGTCGAACTACCCATAAGGCTTGTCAAACTATAAAAGTAGGTTACTTACATCCCACTCAGAGCGATTAGAAAGGGCTAGCTTCCCGATAGAACGACCCCCTTGTCCCCCATCTCTATGTTGTATATACTTCCAATTTTTTGGATGCATTTCTTTCGTGGAATATGTAAGATTTTTATTTTATTTTATACTGAACTTGATATTGTTTTGTTTAGTTGATAAGAAAGAAAATGGTCAAACGAGACACAACGCTTTAAACTTGCAAATGAGTTTGTATTTACATATTTGAATACGATAAGTTAATGGGTTAGGTTTAAATTTAGTATAATTTCCCGTCACATAGCTGAACTCCTCTCTATCCACAATACGTATCAAAACCATTGTCCATTCCACTGCAAAATATATGAAAAGAGAGAAATGTCAGCATATTATGAAACTGCAAAACGACACAATCTTTTTTCGTATGCAAATGTCAGCTGTAATTTCATACCTGATGAATTCATGAGCATTAGCCAGACTTGCAGCCCTCTTTATCTTAGATTATTTTGCATTCTGTTTACCGTATTCGATATTTTCGAGGACAGTTCCAGCGAAAAGAGTAGGCTCCTGACTGACCAATGCAATATGTGACCTCAATATCCTTAATTTATAGTTCTTGACATCCTGCTCATCTATGCATACCGTTCCCTTCATTGGATCGTAAAACCTCTCAATGAGTCCAATGATGGTGGATTTTCCAGAACCGATCCCCCCAACTAACGCCACTGTCTTGCCTGCGTCGATTCTGAGGGTCAATCCCTTAAGGATCATCTAGTCAGGTCTTGTTGGATACAAAAAGAAAACATTTCTGAACTCAGCCTGACCCTTTATCCTCCTCTTGATTTCCAAACCCCATTGGTTATTCGAATCAATCTCACTTTTCCTGTCTAACATTTCAAAAACTGATTGAATGGCACTGTTTCCTTTAGATAGATCAGAAGTCATGCTTCCGGCATTTGCAATGATATAAGCGGTGAATAGCAGTATCAAACATGCCTGGAAAAGTTCCTTTGAAGTTATCAACTCGTCCACCAGTAGCCTCCCACCATACCAGTATGCTAAGAAAACGAGGGACAAGACTCTTGATTGTCACTTAATTTCAGATTTGTCCTGGAGGAAGTAGACTGATATAAGTGATCCAACACAGTAGGCGTTTATAGGTTGCACTGCCCCCGAATATATTGCACCCAAGCATCCGAGTAAGGCTTGTCCCCATTCTGGTGCATTCATTTTCAGCAGGCACCATTGGGACGGAGGAGTATAATTGGGGCACTTGGTGTCTTCATCGTCAATTTCGTCATCAGGATCGTATTGGACAGAGAATGAGTAGGGTGTTCCCATGGACATAGACATTGTTTTGGGGTTGAAGGCTGGAGAATGAGTAACTGATCTGAAACTAATGGGGCTTGGTGTAACACTCCTCCTACGGTGAGGCTTTTCTTATATTTGAGAACTGAAATCATCAGAAACCTTGTTTTGGGCCGCCGTGTGCTGCATTTGTACCATCTTGAAGTATTCGCCTCCCTGTTCTCCCTTCTTTTGCATTAGCTGATTGTGTGAGCCTGACTCAACTACTTTCCCGGCTTGAATTACAAAATCAAGTCTGCTGTTCGGATTGTAGACAGGCGGTGGGCAATGATGATTGTTGTCCTCCCTTTTGATGCCTGATCAGTTGCCTCCTGCACTACTCTTTCGGACTGCGCATCCAGTGCACTAGTTGCCTCATCAAGAAGCAGGATTTTAGGATCCCTAAGCAGAGCACGCGCAATGGCAATTCGCTGCTTTTGCCCACCAGACAGTTGGAATCCAGATTGACCAGCCTGGGGAAACCATAAAAATGATGTTATGAGCAGTAATCATGTGACAAGATACTTTCAAAGAAGTTCATATCAGGTCAATTTGTACAGTTAATTTTTTTTTTTTATTACCATAACATTATTGAAATATAATTCAAGGCTTAAGAACTAAGCATGGAAACCAAAATAGATTCCAAGAATGGAAGATAGCATACTTGAGTTTCATATCTGTCTGGTAACTTAACGATGAAGTCATGTGCGTTTGCAGCTTTAGCTGCGATTATTACTTCTTCCATTGATGCCACTTCCTTTCCGAAAAGTATGTTCTCTTTCAAGAAAGTTGCAAACAGAACAGGTTCTTGATTAACTAGACCGACCTGAGATCTCAACCATTTTGCCTGAAGTCTTCAAATTTTGTGTCCATCCAGAAGAATTTCTCCTTCAATAGGGTCATAAAATCTTTCGAGCAATGCAATGGTGGTTGACTTTCCAGAACCACTGCCCCCAACTAGACCTGCACTTTTACCAGCCGAAATCTTAAGACTCAAGCCTTGTCAGACCGTGGTATCAGGTCTCAACGGGTAATTGAAATAAATGTCTTGGAATTCTGTTTCTCCTCTGACATGTGACAAAGCCTTCCGTTTTTTATCTTCAGTGTCAATACTAGGAACACGATCAATCATTTCAAGGATTCGAGTTGTAGCTGCTAATGCCTCGGTGATGGCAGTTAGGTTTGGGAGTGCACTTAAAATACTCCTGCCATAGCAAAGCTAGATTATAAGTTCAAGATCAAAAGTGAACTATTGAAATGAAATGCAGTGTTAAATTAACTCACATGCCTCCCATGAGGACATTGGAACCGGCTACAAAAACATGCCCGCCATCTTCGCCTTTCTGAGTAACCAAATAAGTCCCGACCCAAGCCTGAAAACCCCAACCGATATAGATGATTCCCATGCTTCCCATCAGCAATCCCTTTACCAAACCTACCTTTATTCCAAGTTCAGTAACTGTCTGAAGTGCAGTGCTGAACCTATTTAGTGTTTGGTTCTCTCCAACGTATGAGTACACGGTTCTTACTGAAGAAATTGCTTGTTCAGCAAGTCCCCCAGCTACTCCATAAGCTTCAATCCCTTTCATTACCAACCCGATCAGGATCTTTCCGAATACAAGTCCCGGAGCCATGATCATGACTGAAATCGGCATAGCTGCCAACGTCAGCCTCCATGACAGCTTGAAGGCAAAAATATGGCAGAAAAAGAAAGTTGACATGTAAGTCAAGCAGTCAGGTATCTGCATCAAAGAAAACATCAAACATTTAATTTATCGCCAGCGTCATGCGCATTTTCTTCAATTCAG